ATGCTGCTTTTTAGTTGTCAGTTTGCAGTGAGAAATGCCAGTCAGAGGCGAGATGTGAATGAAGATCAGCAGCTGAGCTGGGCTGTGCTTGCTACAGAGAGAAGTCACTGAAAGTTTGCTGCTGCTTCTGTGCAGCAGTATCAGGCTTGCTGTTTGTAACGTGGTTGTGAAAGGGCACAAAAGGATGTGTTGTAACCTATCCTAGATACGCTGCATCTTGTGTCAATTCAGGACCTGCATTCCATCTGTCCTTGCAGGAAGGCATTATCTGCCATCATGAGGAATGTGCTGGTGCTCTTCAGCACATGCATGTCTCAAAATGAGTCTGCCTGGTGTGATTAATGGGATCTGGTTATCTGAGATGCGCTGCTCATGTCAGGCTGCAGCTCTATCAGTGGGGCGGTCTGTAACCTCTGAGATACAGATGCTGCTTCTCCTGCCATGCCTCTGGTGCTGTGCACACAGCACCCTGCACCCTGCATCCTGCACAGCAGCAGCCTTCACCTCACGAGGGTGTTATTCCAGGCAGCCTGCAGAAGCCTGCCACATGCTGATGTTTTCTCTCTAACCTAAGCTCTTTCTGCTTGTTCCCTAACTCACATTTGTCTTTGCAACTTAGCAGACAGATGGCTGCTTTGACTTGAAGCAGAAGCATATGACTTGAAATGTAAGGAATGAGGTGGAAGAGCACACACAACTGCCTAGAATGGATTATACTAGACTTTGTGCTCCAGTAACATAGATGTGGTTTACTATCTTAATTACAGTACTTCTTTAAGTACTTTATATAGCCTGTCTGTTCCAGTTTAAGACTCTGCTTCTAGGCTAATGCTTGACGTTTTTATCTTGTGATTTTACTTCTGGAAAGAACTCCCTGTTCCTCCTTGTTTACTCTGGGTTTGGAAGAAAAGACTTTCTCTTCAATACACAAGTCCGTTATCAGTGACTTAACTTGGCAATTGTTCCTTCTTCCTGAAGAGAAATGATCTTTATTTTGCCCACAGTTTAAGCCTAATTAATGCTTGTTTGACTTGAAGCTTGGAAAAAGCCTGACACTTCCTATCTTCAAACCTTCCTAGAAACTCTGCCTACTTCCTGACGCAGATAAACCCAGTTCAAAGCCTGGATACAAAAGTCACTTAAGATAGTGTAGAATTTCCAAGGAAATAATCTTGTTCTGGTGAAGAGTTTTATCCACGCAATCTGCAGCTTTGGGAGAGGTTTAACTGGACTCCTGTTAATAGTGAGCAAATTGAAGCATGACTAGTAGTAGCACTCTGAATTAAAACGTTCTGGTTAGGAAATATACACAGTTCAGGTAAGAACAGAAATGCCTGTTAAGGCAGTTTAGTTTTGTCCTTAATGCTCTTGACCTACCTGAATATCTGCATGTTGTGTGCATTGTATTTCAGGTGTCCTTAAGTTTTTGGAAGTACAGCTCTTAATTTAGAATAAAAATAAGGGTTAAGGATCGAGCCTCTAGAGAGTGTGAAGTGTGTAAATTGCAAACAGTAAGTGCTGAGAGAAGCATTTGGAGGAAAACAAAAATTAGGAACAAGGCTATTTAGTGTTGTTCCAGATACTCCTTATAAGGGGCAAGTGTAGTTGCAGCCTCTCCTGGAAGCTGATGTAACCTTCATGCCCATAACTCTGGTAGTTCTATTTAAACTTCCCTCTGCTGCAGCAGCAGTAAAACTGTGTGGGGTGTTTTCAGTGCTTTACTGGAAGTTAATTCAGTTGCCTTGAGATTTATCTGATAATTCCCAGCACTTGTCCCTAAGTGATCCCTGAAATACAGAAATAAGCCACCTACAGGCCTGGTGTGGTTTTCCAAGAGCACTTGGGAAGGACGAAACATCTGTAGATGTTGCTTACAAAGTGTCAGTACTGGTTTTAAATGCTCAGGTGCTCCTGGTGTGCCTTCTGGGGGGTTTAGGTTTAAGTTTAGTCATTTCTCCCCCCAAAAAAATGGTGAATTCTAACCTGTTACATGAAGAATCCTGTAGTGTCATAACTGTGATGCCAAGTCAGAGCTGACATTTTCCATGTGCTGTTATCTAAATACCCTGTAGGCCACTGAGCATTTGCTCGTTGTTCTGAACTTAGCAGTCAGGTTTTCTGGCTTTATACTTTTGATTCTTTTCAGTACCATTGTCTTTATATTTGCAATAATTTATGTTCTTCTTGCAGGAAAACAAAAAAGAACAAACAGAAAAGTAAGTATGTCTTTATTCTGTATGTAAGTGGATATCCATAGGGAAGGATTCTTGCTTGAGGCAGGTTTAAGGTCTTATTCCAGCTAAGTTTACTTATTCTCACCTTGTGTTGTGTCTTCCTCTCGCTCAGGAGGAATGCATCCTTTCCTGCTTTGTACACAAACTACTTGTTTCAGAGCTCTTGCAAGTAAAAGCAAAGATCAGAAGAGCCATGGATCTCTTGAAATAATTTCATAAGTCAAATTTATGCTTTCTTACTGAGATGGAGACGTGACACATCTGCAAAGCTGAGCTGCTGGCTCCAGAAATTCTTCCCAAGAACACTGCAGATACAGACATTGGTTTGTTTTTAGTGCAGAAACCTCCATCCTCAGAGAAGTGTAAGCACAGCAGTTTAAACTGCCACAAATACATGGGATTTCCAGACTATAAGTAATATTGAAAACAAAAACCCAAGTGATAATGTGACCAGAGAGAAATCTCGGTCTTACTTTTAAATCCTTCCTCTAAATCTTTCCTGGTGTTTCTTACTGACTTGCCTGATTTCTGAAGCAGTGTGATGTCTGTGTTCCCTGCAGCTCCAGGGATTGGGGAGGGGAGCAGTACCAGTGAGACTCCTCAGCCTCCCAGGAAGAAGAGGGCTCGAGTTGATCCAACAGTTGAGAGTGTATGTATCCCTGATTCTCACAGTACCTCGTCCTGCAGTGGGGAGGGTTACAACTTGCAGGACTAAGGTTCCCAAGTGGCCTTGAAAAATCTAAGCTATTTCCTTGTTCCCTGTGGAGCCTACAGGAATGACTGTAGGAATTCTGCAGTCCAGCTGTATGTTTCAGTTATGAGAACAGGAATATGGTGACTCTAAGCTTGGGCAGTTATCTGGAGGTAATTTGTCTGGTTTCACTGTTTTCAGGAGGAAACATTTATGAACAGAGTTGAAGTGAAGGTGAAAATCCCCGAAGAGCTGAAGCCATGGCTGGTGGATGACTGGGACTTGATCACCAGGCAAAAACAGGTAGTGTCAGAAGAACAAAACCAGAATTTCATCTCCTCTTCAAGTGCAGTGTAGTGAAGTCTCCTGTGGAGTTTGACAGCAGCCCCGTGGCTTCACTTGGCAGTTCTCATGCCAGTTGGATTTTAACCAGAGGTCACCTGTGAGCCCGACTGTGGCCCAGCATGGCTGCATGTAGAATAGGCTTGGTCTAATCAAGCACAAGCTGGAAAGGCAAATCATTTTAACTACTTATTTAAGCTTTAATTGTGTTCAGTCTATGCATGCTTGGCCACTGGAATGTTTTTGAACAGGCACCAGTGTGATGCCTGGTTTACCTCAGCTCCTTTCTGCCTTCTTTACCTGTCACTCCCTGCCACGTTCTGCAAGTATCTTGAGCTGTTCCACAGCTCTGACAGCAAGCTGTCACTTAGGAGAGTGTCTTAACCTCTGCCAGGCTGGACCCATATAAATACCTGCTGCTTCTCCCAGGTGCTGTCTCTGTTCTTGCAATCCCAGACACACAGAAATCTTGTTCAAGTCCTATGTGGATAAGCAAGTTCATCCTCATGTGCATTGGCTTAAATGTAGCTGGCAGATATAAATATCTGCATAAATTAGACCATTGTGTTTGTTCTGTTTCCCTTCTTTTGTAGCTCTTCTATCTTCCTGCCAAGAAGAACGTGGACTCCATTTTAGAGGATTATGCAAACTACAAGAAATCGCGAGGGAACACCGATAACAAGTGAGCAGTGGCCATTGCAAACCTTGAATACTTGTTCTGCTGCTGTGGTTGGACTTGTAATTCATGGAAAACTTAGTAAGGTTGTTAAACGTGTCCCAGCCCCACGTCCAGCTTCTCCATCACCGTGGTCTTGGAACACGGAGTGTAGCAATCTGTGAGGAGGCAACTCAAGAATGCAGTTCTGCTTTCTCGGCATTATTTCTGCCTCCCCCACTTTCCCTAAGCCTTTTCCTAAAGGAAGCTGCTATGAGCCAGTGAGTAATTCTCCACCCAGTCATTTGAGCTCAGGCTCCCCGTGGTGGGTGAACACAGGCTCAGCAGCACTCACTGGGTACAAGCTGAACAGACTCCTCAGAATAGCTGCCAAGCAGATGACAACATGTTTCTCTATGGGTGGACTCTGGTGGAGGTAGAGGGGTGGGGGTCAGGGAGGTAGGCAGTGACTCCTAAAACAATCAGCTGGGCAAAGCTAATTACTTTGAGTGATAGCTTTGAAGATCTTGTTTGTAATTACCCAGCAGTCCAGCCCTGACAACAAACAAGGTGTGGTTATTCCTGAAGGAAACTTTCCTGCTCTAAAGGGAGACAAACTAGAAGTGTGAAGCTATTTTCTTCCATTCAAGAGGAAGCCCATTACTGACTTGTCACAGTGTTTGAATGCTCTTTTATCCAGTTGTCCTAATGTGTGTTGTAAATCTGTTTGCAGAGTGGAGTGAGGGTTGTCCTCCTCAGCTGTGCAGTGTCACTGCTAATTCCTGTACAGTTCTTGCAGTGTTTTCTCTCTTGCCCAGGGAGTATGCTGTCAATGAAGTTGTGGCTGGAATTAAGGAGTACTTCAATGTCATGCTGGGAACTCAGCTCCTCTACAAGTTTGAGAGGCCCCAGTATGCTGAAATCCTGGCAGATCACCCGGACGCTCCGATGTCCCAGGTGTATGGAGCTCCACACCTCCTGAGGTTGTTTGGTGAGTGGCATCGCCACGGACACAAGAGCAGCAGTCACAAGTATCCAGACACTTCCTTTTCCTGGCTTGAGTCTCAGTGGGTGTGAACTGCAGACACCTGACAGGTCACTGTGAAACCTGTGGTTTCAGTCTTTCCTTGCTCCATGTACCTGAAATGTCTGGAGCCACTGAGGGCTTTGGAATGGAAACGGATTTCCAACAGTCTTGTTATTTTGGGTGAGCTTGTGTACACTGGGATAGATTCCTGGGCTGCTTTTATATGTGAACTGCATGGTTCTAGCCTGCACTGAAACACTTGTGAAGTTGTTGTTCATGACTAACAAGTGCTGCTTCTTTTGACACAGTACGAATTGGAGCTATGCTTGCTTACACCCCTCTGGATGAGAAGAGTCTGGCTTTGCTGTTAAACTATCTGCATGACTTCTTAAAGTAAGTACTTGTACAGTCTTCCAGCAAGAAGGAAGTTGTTCAGC